TGTCCTTCTCAATCCCACTGCCCCTATTCCCTGGCAACCACTAGATTTCCCTATTCTGGATATTTCATGTCAATGGCATCATAGAATACTTGATCTTTCTATCTGGCTTTCTTCACTTAGCATAACATTTGCAGCCTATGTTGATATTGTATTTCAACGTGGCTTACTTTTATGGCCCCATACAGCAACGTACTTTCCCTAGAAATAGCATTCTTGTCTTGGCACTCGTGTCACATTAGTTATGCAATATTTAATTAAATTGCAAAATTACAGTAGCAAGTACAACTGGCATAAATAAGACTGTGGCCCAACACCACTGTTCAGTGTGCCCCAAGGTGGTAAGAGCCAAGTATACCAATTTATTATGATGACAGCCTTTTGCCACAGCGGTCTCTGTATTTCAGCAAACTAGGATGTGTTTCAGAAGCAAAGGAGAGCACTAGTTAACCCAGTGAGTTGTTTCTGTGCTGGCCAGTACTCCATTGCCAGAGCAGAGAGGAATGGGTGAAGGGTTCGTGAAGAAGGGTATGGAGGTGATAAGTATTTACTACACAACCCAACCCAGCCTCAGAGGTCCCCAAAAGGAAGCCCTCTATACATCTTCAAACAGAGCCAAGGATGTGCTCCCATAAAAATAGGTCTGTCCTTTTAACTCTGTAAAATCTTCACCACAGGACTCATTATCTCAAAGATGTCCTCCTCTGTAAAGTCCTCCCCAACCCTCAACTCTGTACAGTGCCTCTCCTTTCTTTCCAAAGTGCTTATCTATCTCTCGGGACAGTTATAACTGGCGTGACAGCTAGTCACACACTGTCCTCGCTTCCACACCAGCTGCTTCAGAGGCGGGCTCTGTGTCTTTATATTCCCTACTGCCACAAACGCCACAAGAGGTGCTCACAGCACAACCTTTACACAAATCTTTTTTTTTCACAAATCTTGAATGAGTAGAAGTTCAATAAGTATCCATTCAATTAAGAAATGAATGTGCACATTAATTCAATTTAATGGTGTGCAACATCGTACCTGGCTACTGCAGCTCAGCCCCCTCACCACCCTGCAGGGAATGGAGGAGAGTATCATATGGAGCTCTCTGATGCGCAAATGAAGAAAACAATCAAATACTAATCTGAGCGCCCGGCAGGAACCAGAAATCACGACTCTTCAAATGTTTACCAGACCCCACCTTCCAATAGGACATAGTTAGATGAGGACAATTATATCCTTTGATGTAGAGCAAATTAAATCACAGAGGAAAGAGTGAAGGAGAGAGGGGTTTGGTAAGCTCTCACCTAGCGGATCTGGTGCAGGGATATACAACACAGCTCTGGGTGAAGAGCTCTACAGCAACTTGGACTTTACCTAATACAAACACAAACAATGGAACCTAATAATAATTACCCTTATAAATACCTGAAATTTAAAAAAGAGAGAGAGACAGAAAATCTTTCTGCTGAAAAAATCCCCCAACATCGTCAATTGTGGATTCGGTTTTTCTCTAATTATTATACCACTTTAGTGGGTGTGTTTGCAGATATGCTAATGAGGTGTCCATGCTGGCAATTTTAAAAAGCAAAGTGAGGCTCAGCACCTGTGGCTCAAGTGGCTAAGGTGCCAGCCACATACACCTAAGGTGGCAGGTTCGAATCCAGCCTGGGCCCGCCAAACAACAATGATGGCTGCAACCAAAAAATAGCCAGGCGTTGTGGCGGATGCCTGTGGTCCCAGCTACTTGGGAGATGGAGGCAGGAGACTCACTTGAACCCAGGAGTCAGAGGTTGCTGTGAGCTGTGAAGCCACAGCACTCTACCCAGGGGGACAGCTTGAGGCTCTGTCTCAAAATAAATAAATAAATAAAAGCAAAGCGATTGGTTAGTTTGGGAATACATAAACAACCCCTGAAACTGCACTGAATTCTTTTTCATTCTTTTTTTTTTTTTTTGGCAGTATAGGACTGAAAAACTGCCAAGTTCATTTTGATAAGCCTTTTTTAAAAACAATAAACATGCCCGAGCTTGTAAACTGTGTTGTTTTGATGAAAAAGTAAAAGAGAATTGGAAAATGCTTCAAACTGGAATGTCCGATTAAAAAGCAAAACTACTGTGGTAACGGATTTACCAATAAGTCACAACACCGTAGCCTGTGAATGTGGAAGAGGAGAATGGGGGACAAAAGGTAAAGTGAGACAAAATAAAACAGAACACCATCTGCATAAATAAATTTAATTCTACATCTTATAGGCTAAGGCAATGACATATACTCCAATACTAACACGGGAACACGAATACTTTTAAGAAAATTCATCTTCCTAACTTTATTTAGTTACCACAATGATATTTCTGCAACAAGGGAAATGTAATTTCATAGACTCTGAATGAGCAGACATTAAATAACCAAATCTAGGAACCGAAAATGTCAGTCCACAAAAGTCAAAGTAACTTCACCTGAGTTTGTTTCTTTATTTTCCAGGTAAGTCTGCGTGAAGCCCGGAACTGGAAGGAAAATAGTTTGAAACATACATATTCATTTCCCTGCTTTAGGCAAAACTGAAATTCTCTTCTATCTGCCTAGTAAAATCCTGAAAAAATTCTAATGACTAGATTGTAATTTGAGCTCCACAGGATCAAGGTTCTTTTTTTGCTTATTGACATATCCTAAAAGCCTAGAACCACACAGGGCACATAGTAGGCACTCAATAAATACCCAGTAAAATGAACTAAATTGAAAAATACAAAAAATATGCAGTGCAATGCAATGCTAACTAAGTCAGTTTGAAATTCCTTTCTTAGCTCTATTATGATCATAGAGTTAAGCACAAAGAAAAAATGGTCCCTATAAAGCCACTTTTCTCGGCTCGGCACCTGTGGCTCAAGCAGCTAAGGCGCCAGCCACATACACCCTAAGGTGGCGGGTTCGAATCCCCAGCCTGGGCCCGCCAAACAACAATGATGGCTGCAACCAAAAAATGGCCAGGCGTTGAGGCGGGTGCCTGTAGTCCCAGCTACTTGGGAGGCTGAGGCAGGAGACT